CATGAATGACTGAATGAAGGAATATTAAATTGAAAACGACATTTATATGTGCTATCAAATATATCTGATGTTATACAGACACTCCCCAGCTTACGAACGAGATACGTTCCGAAGGATCGTTCGTTAGGTGAATTCGTTCGTAAGTTGCTTCAGTGCTATATTTTGTATGGAATGTATGTTTAAGGCTTATATAAGTATGTTTAAGGTTCATATAAGTATAATAAAATGAAGTTTAACTTACTTTTGGAAGATGTTCTCGAAGGCTTAAGGATGATTGCACAGTTTTCTTCTTTTTCTCATCATAAATGATGCAGTAGCACTGTATGGCATCATTCATTTGATTTGCAACCTTTGTGCAACGTTCAATATTTGGGTCTTGCTGCTCGAAGAGTGCGATGGCTTTATCTATGAGCGAAAACCCCTCGGCCAAGAGTTCCGTCTCGAATTTCTTCATGGGGACAGGCATTTCCTCCTCCTCCTCCTCCTCTCACAGCGCCTCACGTCGGTATTAGTGGCGGAAAGAAGCACTACAGTACTCGGAAAAAGGCGCGCAATACAAAATCTAACTTACAGCGTCTCTGTCCGAGAACATTTTACGACATACCTGTACCCGCAAAAATGTTTGTATGTACCGTTGTTCGTAACTTGAATGTTTGTAAGTCGGGGAGCGTCTGTATTAGGTCCTTATGTGCTGCAGATTTTTTTTTCTATGACCGTGTTGAAAGTGGCAGCATTGCTATTTGTAGACACTGCGGGATACTGTATAACCATAATACTGCCCAACTCGATTAGGAGTTAAATTGAAAAGTACTAAGTGGAATCAAGAATAAAAAGGCTGAAATGCTATACCCATTCGAGTTAAGAAACAATTCAGTACTGAGTTTTTTCAGTTTGTACTGTACACATAAACTGTAAAAAGGGCAAAGATTAATGAATTTATCCTCCAAACTGCTTATCTTCACTAGGGTCATTGGCGTGCTGGAGCCTTTCCCAGCTGTAATCAGGCAGTAGGTGGGGTACCCCATGAACTGGTCACCAGTTTGGCGCAGGGCACAGATAAACAACCAAACACACTCACTTTCACGACTACGGACAATTTGAAAGTCTTCAATTAACCAGACGGTACAGAAAATTCATGGATGGGTGTGCTATCGTCTCTAAAATTTCAATCCTCCTTTGAAAAACTGAGCTTTACCCTTGAACGCTTGAACAAAACTTCTACCGTATTTTCCACACTTAAAGGCGCACTGGATTATGAGATGCAGCTTCAATGAATGGCCTATTTTGTAATTTTTTTTCATACATTGGCCACACCGCATTATAAGACGCAATCTACAATGCATCCACTAGATGGAGCTACGCTCAAGGAAACGCCAACAGAACGATCAGATGTCAGTAAAACTTATTTAATAAAGCAGCGACACAGTTCACTTAACCAACAGCAAGTTTTAACATTGACTCGTTAACGTTGAACTCACTTGCCGCTTCTTTATTTCCGTGTTGAACTGCGTAACCGATTGCTTTAAGTTTGAACTCCGCGTTGTCAGCATGTCTCAAGCAAGGAGCCATTTTGGGGTTGAAATATTACCGTAATGACCATACACTAGGCGCATCGGATTTTAAGGCGCGCTGTGAGCTTTTAAGAAAATGGAAGGCTTTTAGGTGCGCCTTTTAGTGCGGAAAATAAGGTACTTGAAAATGCCTCACTTCAAGATGAAGTGGTTGTTAAACTACACCTTCATAAAAATGACATGACGTACCTCATGGTGTGAATGCACTCAGGCTCCTTAGTGAATGCATAAGCATAGCCGCTTGATGTTGTGCCAAAGTCAATGGCTACCACAACCACAAAGGCCATTCCTGACGGAACCTGGTCTGTGTCATTCTGCTGCATAAACAGAACATTGACATGGAGGAGAGTTAGTGCATGAATGCAATGCTTTTGAGCCCAAAAAAAAAAGACCAAAATAATCAAAAGAAAGACAGAAAACTCAAAATCACACAGAACTTAATGCAAGACCTCAGCATATATTGTGAGAATTCAATTCAGGGAGAATCTGTTTTTTGGGATGCCATCGCTGTAGAGCATTAGTCGTGCCGCACATGGTCCACGGATTGGTTGGTACAAAAAAAAAAAAAACGTGTGCGTTCACATGCAGTCCACATTCACAATAGAGCATTTTTTTCTGCCTCAGGTAACAGTTTATTTAGTGCGTGTTCTGTCATTTAGACATGTCAAGGTAGCTGCACACATTCTCATAACATAACACGCCGCCAATGCAAAGACTAACTTAAGAAAAAAAGCTTACCAAATACCAGATATGGGCACTTTACCCTATTTTGCTGGTCCTTCCTCGGTCTGCGACCTGGGCACCCTTTCATCATCATCCCACCGTCCTTATTCATAAAATAATCCTTCTCCATCCCCGTCAGTCCTCATTCTTTAAAAGCACTTCCATCCTCACATTTCACCAGTCTGTCCCCCCGCCCAGCCCTCCCACAAAAAAAAAAACAAAACAAAACAAAACAAAAAAAAACATCCACGCTTGACGCCGAGGTCTATGGAATGAGACGCATACAACCATCATTGGAAACCGGCAATGTGTTGACTTGAAGCAAAGTAAAGTCGCTCGCTCCCGCATACAAACGGTGAATACGAATGAGACAAGCGGCGTATCGTGATATTTAACATTCAGTCTGAAGTAGTGCATTGGCGGATTACACACGCAAGACAGGCTGGGCGTGTTTCTGTCAGTCGTCAGTGAAATGGGCATCTGTTGGTACTTGACTCGGTTAGGCGAGGGATGAAAACCCATTTCCTTAGTCTGTCTTTTTTTTTAAACTTCGTCCTCGGTCTCCAAAATGGGCCCTTTCATCCTAGGCATGACATGCCCACCTCTGCCAAATACATTGACACCAATGCAACCGCCTCAGTCGGATTTTGATTTGAAGTTGGCCCGTCGTGGCGTGACAGCTAGCTTGACTTGTCTTTTCAACATTTCAGCAGTGGCGGAACCCTCAGGGCCAGCAAGGCCTTCTCTGCTGGCCTTAACATTCTCAGAAAAGTTTACTTTTCTGAGAATAACATTAATTTATGTTATTTTATTTTCATAAATATGTAAACAAAATTATTCTCTGTATTCTTTACATCATATTATTTCCACTTAGTCGAGTGGCTTTCAATGTTATTTTAAATAAAATTGAAAGCCACTCGATAAATAACTTATTTATTATGGTAGAATTTTTAACCAATCATATTTAAGATAGCTTGTGTTGCCAGGTAAATTAAACTTGCTTGGGGCCTTCAGATTAAACAGAGCAGGCCCCTGTGCGCTGTAAGTGAACGGGCACAGTCTGGTTGCAATTGCCAATCAGATCACGAGTCTGAGACTTGTATGCAGATCTGACTCGTCTGCATACTAGGGCCAGCTAGAAGGTCTTACGTCGAGACTGGCCGTGCGCGTTCGGTGATTGGATTAGCGCC